TATAAAACCTTGAGAGTATTTGCTTAGGAAGTTTTCAATATTCAGAATTTTTGGAAGTGTCAATGAAGTATTGATGGGGTGGTCAATAATCTGGCCACCCAGTGTATTTTTATTGATTTCAGAGAGGGAGAGGGAGAGAGAGAGAGAAACATTAATGATGAGAGAGAATCATTGATTGGCTACCTCCTGGGGCTCGAGCCTGCAACCCGGGCATGTACCCTTGACTAGAATCAAACCCAGGACTCATCAGTCCGTAGGCTGACGACGTTCTAACCATTGAGCAACCGGCTAGGGCTAGGCTCAGGTTTTTATTTCATTATCTTTGACCAGCAACAGTCAATAGTTCTGGTAGCTATTTTTTAAAAAATTGGGTAATCTGGCCTTTGTGGACAAATGTTGACTTGAAATCTAGGGCACACTGTAGTTCCAGATCAATAGTGCCTAATTTCAGAGCCACCATAGACATTTTTTTGGAAACAAATTCAGTGAAGGAGAGTTCATGTACTGTTTCTGTAGTCTTTTTGTCACTCTCTGTACCAGCATGAGATATATCAGAACAAGGTCATTCCTTCCCCCCTCAACTCCCGCCTCAGTTACTCACTAGCTGATTTCTTTCTAAAACCTGCTTTTATATTCCTGAAAGAGTTCATTTTGTAATTAATTTAGATTATGTTGGTAATTTGTTACAGTAAAAATACCTTTTTTAGCTTCCCACCTCCCATTTTCATTTATTTTGTTAAATTTATCTTTATTGTTGAAAGCATTATATATGTCCCCTTTATTTCCTCATTGTCTCCCTCCACCCCTCACCCGTCCCTCCATTTTTAAAAGTACTTATATCCCAAATAACACATCTTCCAAACTGTTCACTAAAAGACCTTATTCATCATTCTGTCCTTTCAAAGATATTACATGTTTCTGACCTGATTTGAATCACCTTTTCCAAACAACGCATGAATGAGTGAATTAATGAATGAATGTGCTTTCACCGTTGGGCCTGTGTCTTGATTCTTTATTAAAGAAATGTTGCCTCATGGTAAAAACATAGGCAAGAGATGCTGCACAATGATGGCTTTTGCTTCCCAGAGACTTCCCTAGAAAGCCATGTTAGCTCTGAAATTGAGAGGAGAAAAAATGTCACAGCTGAGCAGCCAATCGTGAAATCTTTCAGGGAGCCACGATTATGATTATTAATGTCACCATGGTGGAACAGATGCATTTAAGTACCAGATTCAAAGCTGTTACGTTTAGTGACGCTGAGTGTTGTTTGGGGATGAAGGGAACAAAGTGTCTGCCCTTCAGCCAGCATTTTCTTGCTACTAAAGATTGATCATTTCGTAATTAAATCAGTCATCAAATTATCCAAAAGTTGACACTATCCAAAAACGGCTCTGGGCTGGTGCAGTTCCGTGCATCTGTAGTATATTATGTCATTAGTTTCTGAAATTCATTGCTGTGCATGTCAGAACCTTTTCCCTAGTCAAAAAGCCTGCAGCTTTTGTCACATAATCACCACCACAAAGATTGATGCTGTATTATATACAGCTAATGCTTAAAAAACTAAACTGAACTAAACATACAAAATACAAACTCTTAGTGTTTCTTTTACACTCTTCATTTTTCAGTATAGTCATTATTGACTCCTGTTTGGCGTTAGTTGATAATGTTTCAAAAAGCCAAGTGGTGAGTTTCTTTTACTTCAATATTTTTTTCCCAAGTTGAAGGATCTAGAACAACAAACTGGATTTTAGATTGAAAAATCGGGCCCTTCCGGGAGTTTTAAGTTTGCACATGGGCTGGGCAGTTTTGAGGGGAGAGGAAGGTCTCAATGAAATGTGAGTCAGTCTGTATCCATTGAAGAGCTATTTCTGAAATGTGGGTTTGGAGTCAGTGGTCCATGTGGGTGTGTTGTCACAGTTTATGACTAAACTTTGGTTATATGTTTCCCTGGAGCTTGGTGTGACTCACATTTAAAAAAAAAATTGATTCGAGAGAGAGAGGAAGGGAGAAAAAGAGAGAAACATCAATCTGCCTGTCTCTAGCACAAGCCCCTACTGGGAATCAAACCCGCAATCTGGGCATATGCCCAAGACCGGGAGTCGAACCTGCCACCTTCTGGTGTGTGGAACCATGCTCCAACCAACTGAGCCACACCAGCCAGGGCAGCGTGACTCACATTTTGACTGGTTCACACGCACATCCTTGTTTTGGTTGGCAAATGGAATGAGTTCAGAATAGAAAGATCAGTTAGTGGTTTCTGTTCCAGTGGTGCACCTAAAAATGCTCACGACTCGAAGGAAGTGTACAAACTCTAATTGCACTGAGTTGCAGTCATCCTGGCAAAGGCTCATGTCTGAAATACGGATTGTGGAGGAAGATCAAGTACTATAATGTTTGGGCCTGGCCTTAGCTTTTATGGACTTCCTATGAACTCCAGAGTAAGGCTAAGTATTTTCACTTCTAGTTTAGGACCATCAAACATTTGCTATAAAAACAGACGCACGTTCAAGGGAGCAGGTATGCTGATTTCTAGTGTGTGTGCCTTGCTAACAAGGGAAAATCTAATTTTACCTGGTAAAGGGGAGGCTAAAGATGCTGTTTTCAGTGGCAAGTCCATTCATAAATCAGTGGCTAAATTCTTTAGGCAAGCAAGAAGTAGATAGGCCCATTGGGAAGGATATGAACTCTTCCCTTGCTATGAATGTAATACTATACCGTATCACTAAATATGCCTGTGTTATCTCATATGTCTGTGCCCAGGATCTAGCTCATAGAGGTCCCTTTGCTGGCTTTTTGTCATCCTTCTCTTCATCTGTAATATTTTACACAATGCCATCTCGCCACCACAGAGTTGTATGAGGTTTTTATGAGGAAAGTTTACTGGACTGACTTTAGTTGGGAGAAAGTGAAAACAAGCCTAAAACTCTGTGGCCTACTTCCTTAATATAACTTGACGGTGTGACTGTAGTTGCATAAATAACGTCCCTGCCATCATTATCTTTTTCTGAAGATGCCGCTTCTCATAACAACACATAGTAGAGAATGTTGTTTTGCTTGAAGCGGAATTTGAAGAGTGGAATGAGCGTGTAGGTCCTCATCTAAAGGAACCATGGGAAGTGAGTAGTGGGAGGAAGGAAAACAGGGACAACTCAGAGGAAACACGCGGGCCGAGCCTCTGAGTCTGCCAGCATGATTTGTGTGAAGTCACCTGGGACTCCGTGTTTTTCTCAGGATCAGCTGCTTGGATGCTTCTGTAACACGTCCACATTCTTCCGGCCTCCACTCCCATCAGCGGGTGCCCAAGAGGGCTTTCAAACACAGACTTAAGGCTCTTTTATTGCTTTTCTCTTTGCAGGTACCTTGAGTCGCTAGGACAGCGGTTCTCAACCTGTGGGTCGCGACCCCTTTCGCGGTCGAACGACCCTTTCACAGGGGTCGCCTAAGACCATCCTGCATATCAGATATTTACATGACGATTCATAACGGTAGCAACATTACAGCTATGAAGTAGCAACGAAAATAATTTTATGGTTGGGGATCACCACAACATGAGGAACTGTGTTTAAAGGGCCAGAAGGTTGAGAACCACTGTCCTAGGATGACTTGTGCTCTACATCACGGTGGGACACACACAGCTAGATGCCCAACCAATGTCCATGCCACCCACTTCTTCCCTATAGCTGAACCCATTTTGTTTAATTTGGCACCATGGCTAGTTAGAAAAAGCAACAAACTTGATTTCCCAGAATCCCTTGCAGTTGGAGATTGTCTAGGACATAGCCCTGGCCAATGAGATGTAAGTAACTGGGTGGGACTCCCCCACAAAGCTCTTATAATGGGGTGGACACTATGTGCTCACAGGCTAGGCATTTTGCTCTTTGTCCTTCTTTCTCCCAGGAACATGGATGCTGTTTTCTAAGTGGAGAACCTTCTTGTGACTAAAGGCAAGAACTTGGAGGGGTGAGCAGGGTGGGAAGCTAAAGGCATTCTGGAACTGCTGCACCAGATCTCTTCTGCCATCTCTTGACTTTTTGTGAGGAAAAGAAAATTTGGTTAATCCACCCAAGTTAGATCTGTTACTTGCAGCCAAATGTGATTTTAACCAAGTTTAAATGTTAGTAATAATTTATCTTTTCTCTAAAAATTAAAAGGCAGCATTCTCTGTGTGACAGAAAAATAAGGGGGTTGGCTGGTTTGGCTCAGTGGATAGAGCGTCACCCTGTGGACTGAAGGGTGCCAGGTTGGATTCCGGTCAAGGGCACATGCCTGGGCTGCGGGATCGATTCCCAGTAGGGGGCATGCAGGAGGCAGCCTATCAGTGATTCTCTCTCATCATTGATGTTTCTATCTCTTCCTGTCCCTTCCTCTCTGAAATCAATAAAAATATATTTAAAAAAGGGGGGGGGGTTAGATTTTGCTTTACAGACTCTCTACACTTGAATCCTGCTTTGCTATTCATTACAGTCTAATATTGGCAAGTAATTCAGCTTCTTTGGGCCTCCGTTTTCCCATCTGTGAAATGGTGGTACTGATATTTATCGCATAGAATTTTTGTCAGTATTAAAAGTAAATAGAAATTTTTAATAACAATAATGGCACATTTGTCACATAGATTTTCAACACATGGTGGCAATTATTACTGAAGGAGAGTGTAGTGGGGAGCCTGAAGAAGGGGAAGCAAGTAATTCAACTTCTAGTAGGTTCTCAGTAAACATACTGAATGGCTGAATGGTAGATTAGCTTTAGAGCTGCAATGACTCGATTCGCCCCCATCTACTCGCCATTTATTTTAACGCCCATCTCTTACCCTCAGTCTTACCTGCCTGGACCAGAATACTTGGAGCTCTTCTGTTCTTCAACTTTGGTTGAAAAAAACAAAGGATATCCTTATGAAAAATGTATTAACTGTAGCATAGGCATGAAGGGAGAGGGCTCCAGAGTCGGACAAATGTAGATTAGAGTCCCTGGTCCTTACTAGCTGTGTGATTCTATCTTCTGTAAAATTGGAATAATTGGGTGGTTATTAATAAATATGCTAACATACCAGTATACGAAGCTCTTAATAGCTTTTTTCCCGGCACAGAATGAGCACTGGATTGATGGCAGATGTTATTTCATTAAACACTTGTTAAGCAATTCTTGGCCTTGGTGTGAGGTCCTCTTGGGTGCGTAAGGGCAAATAAAAGATGCTCTTTACCCTTAAGAATATTCATATGCAGGAGATGGGCGTAGGAAGGGGATGGCCCTCTTCATATATAACTGTAACATAAAACAGGTTTAAAATACTATGTAGCTGTTAAAAAGTTGAGAAAATATACTGATTTATACAGATGTCTGTGATATATATTTTAAGAAAAAGAGGCCCTGGGCAGGCATGTGCGGGAGGCAACCAATTGATGTGTTTCTCTCACATCAATGTTTCTCTGTCTCTGTCCCTCCTCGTCCCTTCCACTCTCTCTAAAGATCAATGGAAAAATATCCTCGGGTGAGGACTAACAACAACAACAACAAATACAGATAAGGAATCTGAGGCACAGACAGGCTCATTGAGTTTCCCACTGTGTGTGCTGGACTCAGGATTTAAGTGCAGGTACAGCCTTTAGGGTCAGTATCCTCAACCTCTTTATATTTCTGCCTCTGGCTTAGTTTTGTACTTGATGTGTTAAATGCTATTAAGAACTGCTAGTTGATCTTACCTCACATGAAGACATTAAGCAGAAATTTAGAAATTTAGGTTTGGAGTTTAGGCAAAACCCTGGATTGATGGATCATCTCCATAGGGCTGTTACATAAAGACTGAGAGGAGATGAACTTGCCGAAGAAGCGGGTGTAGACTAAAAGAGAAGGAAGTATAGCAGGTCTTCAAATAACATTGTTTTGTTATAACTTTGATGAGGAAAAACAAATGGTTTCTGGCAGGAACCACTGTCTGTGTAGAGTTTGCCTGTTCTCCCCATGTCTGTGTGGGTTTTCTCCAGTCCTCCGGTTTCCTCCCTCATCCCAAAGATGCCCCATTCTCAACGAGTGTAGGTGTGGGGGTGAGTGCACCCTGCGATGGAAGGGCGTGCTGTCCAGGGTTGGTGCCTGCCTGGTGCCCTGAGGGGCCGGGATAGGCTCCAACCAACAGCAACCCTGAACTGGAATAAATGGAATCATCATCTTAATTTTATTAATCTTTTAAAAATGTATGTATAGCTCATTTATTTCAACATGTAGTATTAGAATTGTTTTGGGTCTTACTTAGTTTTTGTGATCAGAAATAAGCTATAGAACTTAACTCTATTTATATCGAGTAGTCTACAATAAAACTATTTCCTTATATTTCATACTGCCCAAAGTTGCAGTTTCCAAGTACCCGATGAGGATGGTAAGTGAGGACTCTGTGCATAGCCTTTAGGGAACTCTTGACAGTTAGACATGGTCAGGCCCAAGAGAAGTTCGGTAGAGCAGGCACGCCGGAGGAGCAGAGGATGATGGTGGCAAAGGGAAGCACACTCAGCCGAGGTGGGTGGTCAGCGCCATCCCCTGCTGACCCATTTTGAGGTCGGCTCTGAGAAACTGCCCCCGTCCAGCTGCCAGACCATTTGTGAACTTGGAGAGCAGTTTCACTAGCACAATAGAGATGAAATCCAGAGTGCAAAAAATTTTTTTTAAAATATATTTTTATTGATTTCAGAGAGAAAGGGAGAGGGAGAGAGAGAGATAGAAACATCAACAATGAGAGAGAATCATTGATTGTCTGCCTCCTGCACTCCCCACACTGGGAATCAAACCTGCAACCTG